ATAGTTTTCTGTTTAAGAAATATATTATATATTTAAAAATAAAATCAAAAACATAATTAGGAACATAATTTTTAGCCAGGAAGACTTAATACGCTATGAAAAATATTATAAGTAAGTGTATAATTTTATTAGTTAGATAATATTCTGTTGTGCTATAGGGTCATCTCAAAAAGTTAGCTTAATGGAAACTTCTGTTTTTTAGTTAACTTTGCTCACTAATACTAATAATATGGATTTCTATATCTAATCTATGTTCCTACAAAAATTTCATTTTCTATACGTTATAGATTCTTTGTCGTGAATATAAAAATTTTAATTAGAAAAAGTATTTGTGTAAAAATTTAACAAAAACAATTTTTCATTTTGTATGATAAAAATAATTGATCACATGAAATATAGACTACGGCTTCGAGCCGAAACCGACCCGAAAACCGAAAAAAAAGTCGATATTTTTGTCGGAGCGAACACCGGATAAATTTTTTTTTGTGTTTTGAACCAGAACGAAAAAAATTCATGTTCAAAGCCCTGATAAAGACAATTGTTAAAAAAGGTCTAAATTTTCTTAAAAATATTTGCAGTATAAATAATATGGTAATTTATAGAAGTATTTAGATTAAATGATATCGTATAATATAATATTGTATAAAATTTAAACTTTAGGCGTAATGATCTGCTGACTGGGTATATATGTTTTACCCTGTCCTTCAATCAATTATAAGGAAAATCCTTGAATTATAACGCTTCAACTTTATTTACTTTCTATATTTCATATACTGTAATAATACACAATACAAATTTTTTTATCTTATTAATTTACACTGAAATACGTAGTATTAGTGTCCTATAAGTATTGTATTTGCATATGAAAACATATTCAGAAAAATTTGGAATTCAGAGCTTAAAGCAACTCAATTATCCTCCATAAAAATTCGCAGAACGCAACAAAAATTGGCTTTCTCATTGCATAAATGTCAATAGAAAAATAAAAAAATTTGCATATTCAACAGAAACGTCAGCAAAATAACATCTGGCATCAGTGGACTATGCTTTTTTCCTCAATAATTGAAAGGAAATGTTAAAATCTAACAGAAATCGGATCTTTTTTTTCGAAATTCAAACAATAAAAATATATAAAAAGCGACAAAGAAATAAAAATGAAAATATAAGTATAAGTACGAAAATAAATTACGGTCATTTGCTTTAAAATTTTTTAACTCAGCAAAAATACAATAAATCCCCAGTTCCAAATGAACCTCACAGAGCTTTCAATCTGAAATTTTGCGCACGAACTGCGGAATAATGTGCCCGGCACAATTTAATTTTTATATTTATTTTTTATTACTATTTGTATACTTCAGTTATTTGCTGGTATTTTAGCACATACTTCCTTCCGTGATGTTAGCTTCTTCAACTGTTTTTACCAACCATCGTACTTGTATTTTTAGTATGTCAATTGCATTTTGGTCTACTGAACTCGACAGTATTACCAATCTAGACTTATAAATTTAGTAGCAAACAAATTGCTGTGGGAGATATGACCTTGCAATTGTTTTTCACAAAAAATAAAATCGAAATTGAGTAAAACATAATATTTTTCTAAAAACAAAAATAAAATTCATATGAAACTCGGTGTTCAGTTAAGTAATACATATATTGCATAGAAAGCTATTATGAATACTAACTTCTGCAGTACTAGACAGAATATTTTATAAAAACAAACAGAAACAGAATCACTTTCACATATTATTAAATAAATTTATATAGCTTTTAATTCTTATACCCTGATAAATTACTCTTGTGTATCAGTAACTTAATCATGAAATGCTACTATGTACCACAAATCTTTACAATTTTCTGTAGACGATAGATGTCACATCGAAGTGTACACATTTTAGTACAGTCAGCAACAGAACTTCTAGGCATTGAGTACTATATATGGTGGGACGTTGGGACAGCACACTGTCCAACAAGTGGCCCCACTGAAGTGAAGGATTAGTCGAAGTAGACCACGAACGACTTGGGTCCTTTTTTGTCCTTCGATTCTCGGATGTTGTTATTGAGTTAAAGCTGGAGTGGCTCATTTAGCTTGAGGTTTTCTGCCAAGTCGTCACCAACCCAATGGTATCCGAAGACACTCTTCCTCCTACTTGCCAGTGCTGGACATTGGCACAATATATGCACCGCTGTCTCCTTTTCTTCTAGACATAGTGTGCAAGTGTCTTCCTCAGCAAGAGTTATCTTTTTGAGGTGATACTTGAAGTTGCCATGTCCAGTAATTAGTGAGGTCAGCCAGCTTAGGGTGCTCTGCGAATAGCTAAGCACCTTTATCGCTTCTCTGGCCCACGATTTTGGTAACATGAGTTTGGTGTGTCGACAAGTGCTCAACTCTCTACATCTATTAAGATGAAGTGAGATTATCCACTTACAGACATAGACTGCCGCATTGAGTACTAAAACCGATGACAATATTAATACTTTGTTGAAACATTTAAAAAGTAAAAGAGTTTCTAAATAAAAAATGAATTTAAAAATGCTAGAATAAACAAATCATCATGTCCTTCAATTTGAGTTTTTTGTACCGATTTTGAATTTATCACCGAACAATATATATATAAACAATATATCTTCAGTAATTCAGATTCTTTCGTGGCCTAAATAAAATTACACAATAAAAAATATACCCTAAGTGCCTTGTAGTGTAGATCATCAACTGAGTCGCTAACCCAGATCCTATGTGCCTTGTAGTTTAGATCGTTCACTAATTTGCTTACCGGGATTACATGTTATAAATATGTCTGCTTGATAGACTAATGAAATAAAAAATATTTAAGAGTTAAGTGCTTTTACCTTTACGCTTAATTCACTAATTACTTATACACTTTATCATTTATTAATTGAGTATATAATTTAATCTATGGATTCATTTAATGAGTGATGATTTATTATACAGCTTTTGTTAAATTTCTGTCGTTAAAATAATATATATATATACATATATATAACCCCTCTTGAATTTTTAATACAACTCGCACTATCCGAATGTCTTATTAATCTCAGTATATAAATATATATGTCTCTTGATATTATGTGTATCGTTCAAGTAGGCTCAATATTCTGTCATTAAAATGCTTCTTTTTTGATGACTTAATATAAGCAAACTAACATATATATCACAAGCAATTTCCTTATATTGTTGGAAATACTACTTGACTATATTATCAGTAATGAACCCGACTTATCGAAGATTTTGTCAAACATTTGCAACTTTAAGTAAATTTTAATTTTTTTTATAATTATAACGTTGTTAAAACTATCATCGCAAGGACCTTTAAAGTGCTATATTTTAGGCACCTACAAGACACTTATTTCCTGATGGAAATTCAAATAATTTTCACTTCCTTTAGCTAGTTCATTCAAAGCTTCTGCTGCCTTAATCCTGGTTAATAGCGCGAGTTTTCATAATTTATGCTTAAAGGGTGTTTAATCTCAGTTTTAATTTACTAAAATAAAAGTAAATTGCTTGTTAAATTTTTTTTATGTATACTGTAATATAAATTTTTATAATAAGAGCTTAAACTTATTCATGTGCAAGAGTTCAAAATGCAGGCTTCTGTAGCTGTGTAACTACACTCTAGTCAGTAGCTAGTAATTTAATAAATTTATGTCTCTTATTCATTTTTTCTCTTATTACTAACTAATTACTGATGTTTATGTAAATTTTTACAGCTACTATTTGAATAATGACTTAATGTATTACTGTTCGAATTTACAGGATGAACAGTTATTTCAATCTCTAAATGACGTAAAAATGATAGAGTGGGTCCACCTGACAAGTAACGAAACATGAATAAAAACAAAATATTTGTTAAATATAAAGAATTAAGTAAAAATTAACAAATATGCACATTTTTCGACAATTGTCTATATTTTTCTGTCCAGAACTATTAGTACTTCAATTTAATATTTCGTGGTTTCTGAGACAATTTGTTTGTTCAACGATTAAGTTTACACCAGTACGAAAGGTTGGCAGATATAGAAAGAAATGATAATTCAGTATTGAAATATTAGATAATAGATATTTTAAAACTTCCAGGCCCATGTCACATTTATTTTCGGGTCATCGAAACTGTCTATGTTTCAACTGATCACCGTTTCTATTTCTTTATATCTCGTCTTACTCGTATTATTTGTTAGCATTTGATTATCAAATTAATCAGTATTACCGTCAAACATTACCGTCAATCCTGGCTTCGAAATTGTTTATGAAGATTCATGTTTTATTTGTTCACTCATTTTATTTCTCTCTCCAAAGCTATGAATCAATTTTTTTTTTCAATTTTTATATAAAATTTTATGTATTTAAAATAAAATAATTTTAACAAAGTTTTATACTTTTATGCACAACTTATTTATTTACCTTTTTTAAATATTTTTATAAATGTAAAATAAATAATGTGAAAATATATTTAATAAATTTATTAATGCAGACTTTATGCTAAACTTAAAATAATAACAAAAATTTTTAGCAAAAAAAAAAAAAAAATTAAATTAGACATTGTTTATATTTCAAAGTAATTTATCAAATTTTTTTCAAATATTTTCCAAATCTTTCTTTTTCAAAGTTAAGAGTGCATTTTTAAGAATTATGGCAAGCCTTTAGCGCTATATATTTTCCCTCTTTCAGATAGATTTATGACAGCATTCAATCATTTGAATTATTAACAGTTGCCTGCATATAACGCTGAAATTTATGTATATTTTATATCATCTTCCTGCTGATGCCTTGACATTAGCACGGTTAATGTCAATATTCGTACGGCATTAACTTTGCACTGAAGTCGATACTCAGAAAAGTGCTTCACTATTAAATATGATAA